CTTTCCCTAGGCAGTATTAATTCAGGAGGTGCTAATACCTGCCAGCATTACAGTGGTTGTACACTTCTGCTACTATTTGGTCTCAGTCTGCACACAATGTACAAAATACGAAGCAACAGTGATCAGTAATGTTACAATAGTATATGAGATGTTATGCAGACCAAATTGGCACTTTATTCACCATAGTACAGTGAAAAAATAGTTGTTATTTTCAAGAAGGCTTTCAGTGAGGAACAAGAAAAAAACTTTGAACTATTAAATACAGACTAGAAGAGAAGGGAGAAAAGTGTAATATTTGTCTTTCAAGAAGTTAAAATTAATCACAAGGAAAGCCCACAGAAATAAAATAGCTTCTTTAGGAATTCATGGGCTATTTTTCTTACCTATTACTCCTAAGTCCACAGGACCCAGATTCGACATGTTGTCCCAGCCCCCATCCCATGAGAAACTCTATCTTCTTAAATCAGTTATTGTTAACAAATCATTTAGACTTCTTATTGTAACTGAAAGTAAAACAGTTGAATTGGATTAGGAAAAGCATGACAATCTTGAGAAGCATCACAAGCGCAAGCTCATAGAGGACAAACCCATCACTCTTATTTGGATCCTCAAACCACCTCCTTGACCTTACCTTTCAGGATGGTATATAATCTCTCCCCACAACCCTACCACACCATGAATAGAAGAGTCACTCACAGAAGTGGCCTTATATGAGGCTCATCTCATGCTCTACTGATCAGTCTGGTTAGTAGAACAAGAACAAAGCTCCATCATGTTGCAGGTATACAAGAAGAATTAGGATCTACTCTACCCTGGCAAGATAGAATGTGGCAATGTGGCTTGAAAAGTGCCCCAGCCAAAACAACCACTGCCTTTTTCTTTCTTTTCACCTGTTCTTCCTAGTGTTCTTTTTAAAAAAATAATCCGCTGTTACCTGCATATCCACCCAGACCTCATAGCCTCCAGGCTCTAAGAATCTCAAGAGGAATGGGCATAAAAAACTAAAGTGTTCCTCTTGGCAGGGTCCTAGAACATGTCTCTTCATCATTCAATAAATATTTATTGAACATCTAGTAGCTATGGATACTAAATGAGTATTATAGGTAGAAAGTGCTAGAAATCTCTAGCCCAAATCACAGTTTATTGTCTGGGAAAAGCCAATTTTATTTATTTAAAGTAAAGTTAAATCAATCTTATCAAAAGTGGTTCTTCTCTTGGGAACACTTCTCCACAAAATATTTGTAATAATACTTAATTTAATAAAGATAAATGTAAAGTCCTGAATTTGGATCCAAAATATCAACTTCAGCAATGCATGATGGGAGTGGTGTGCCTAGTTGATCAATGTGTAAAAATGCTCTGGGGCTTTTGGTAAACTACAAGCTGAATATGAGTCACATGTTATATTGGACAAAAAAGCCAGTGTTTTCTCCAAATATGGCTTATCAAGGGCAATGCCTAACAGGATCCCAAACCTTAACTATTTGGGGAAAATTGGATAAATTTTTTATGCCTTTAAGTCAGGAATAATGATATTGAACACAACAAGGCTAAGGGCAAGACCCTGGGGCATTTCAGTAGAATTCTCCCAGTAGTTTGACATTAGCCCATTAATCAACACTCTTAGAACTATTCACATAGTTCCTGAATTGACTTCATATACTATTGTTTAACATGCATTTCTTTGCATTGGTAAGGTAAACTAACTAGTTTTATGAACTCAACACAATGCACACATTCTATCACTAAAGAGTTTATAATTTTCTGATAATTAATTTGGCCAGTGAGGGAATTCCTCTTTGGCGTTTCCTCCTTCTTAATCTGATTAATTGGCAAGGGATTTTCCCTAGAAGTTTTGTCAACTGCCTTACCAGAGTCGCCATAATAAAAATTTAGGTAGATTCCATTAGCCAGGGATCATTACCTTGTGTGATGTTTGGTCTAGAAGTCAGACTAATCCTAAAGTGAAGGTATCTTCAGAAATAAGGAAGCTGCAGCACAAGACAGCTTTGCAGGAACTCTTAAGGATGAAGCACAAGAGACAATATCAGCCTTGATGCAAGACCACTGACTTTACAGTGAATGCTACATGAGCGGTATACTTTCACCAAATAAAATGGGTTGTGTGCTTGTGTGCTGTAGCCCATTGTTGAAGTACTTACTTTACTTTTATACTTTCTTGGGTTTTTTTTAATAAATGTAATTGATTCCTTTTTCTTTCTTTCTTTCTTTCTTTCTTTCTTTCTTTTTCTTTCTTTTTTTTCTTTCTTTCTTTTTCTTTCTTTCTTTTTTTTTTTTTCTTTTTTATATGAAGCAATTGGGGTTAAGTGACTTGCCCAGAGTCACACAGCTAGTGAGTATTATGTGTCTAATGCCAGATTTGAACTCAGGTCCTCCTGACTCCAGGGCTGGTGCTCTATCCACTGTGCCATCTAGCTGCCCCCCTTTTTTTTCTTTATGTGCTTTCCCAAATTCAACTAACTCCCTGAATCAAACCCTCCTTTGTAAAAAAGAAATAGAAGGGAAAAAAATATCTAATACAGAGACTGCCTCTGACAATGCATGCAATTTTCTGCTCTAATACTCACCTCTTTCTCTGCCAAGATGAAGGATGGGTATTTTCATTATCTGCTTTCTGGGATCACTGTTGGTTTTTCCAGGATTTAGCTTACTTTTAGTGAAGTTTCTTTTTCATCACATTGTAGTCATTATGTATTTTGGTTTCGGGGGGTATTTTTTTAGCTGTATTTATTTCATTGACATTGGTACATGCAGATACTCCCACATTTCTCTGAATTTCTCATGTCTCAATTCATAATGAACACAAATATTTTATTATATTTGTATTCCTAAGCTTGGTTAGTCATTCCCCCATTCGATGGACACTCAGTTTCTTTCCAGTCTTTGTTTCTGTTTGAGTTTATTGAGGTATTTGCCAATTCATAAGGTCTTGGGGTCAAAGTACATCTATATATATTATATTATATATGTATTTATGTATGTATATGTATACGTATATATATTACACACACACACACACACACACACACATACACACATATACACAGCTTTCTATTCTTCTTTAATAACTCTAAATTGTTGTCCACAATAGTAGGACTAATCGACAGCTATACTAATAGTGTATTAGTATTCCTGTCTTCCCATATTTTCTCCAAAATTGACTTTTTCTATTTTTGGACATTTTTGATAAATTGTATTGCATGAGGTAAAAGCTTCGAGTTGCTCCAAGTTGTGCATATTTCTCTTATTATTAGTGATTTGGAACTTGTTTTCATAATTTTTTTAGTTCAAAATCCTTCTTTTGAAACCTATGTTCTTAAAGCACTTATCTGTTGGGAATGGACTCATTTATTTGTGTCAATTTTTATCCATCTATCTTAGGTGCCAGTGTTTAGCAGTGATATTTGACATAAAGATTTTCCCATTGGGCAATGTATTTCCCAGATTCTGTCTGCATTGATTTTATTAGTACAAAAATATTTGAGTGTTTGATATGTATCACATAACAATAACTTTTAAACACCACGTGTGACATGTTATTGGTTTATTACAAGTTTACATATATAAATATATGTGTATACAATATGTACATATATATATATATATATATATACATCCATACATGTATACGATCTTTTGGAACCCCTAATAATTGCTTTGAGAAGTCAGTAAGGAGCTTATTCATTACTTTTGAGAATAGAAACCCAAAATATGCAAGGTTTTTTTGAGTGAAGATAACTGAGCAATGATCTGAAACAGACTATGCATGTTAATACCTCTGCCTCGATTCCAAACTCAGGAGGAAGTGGTGAGAGGGGGACCTGCACTGAACAGAGTTTTTAGGCATATTTCATCCTTAGAGAATAACTACATTTCTGTTAGGAATGGAAATGAAAACAAAAATATATTGATAATTTAGGGCAGAGATGTCAAACTGCAAACCTTCCAAGCATTGCCTGAGCCAGATTTGAATGTAACTGGGAAATGTTTGACAAAACATTTTGATAATTTAGGTAGTATTAATTTATGGTTTTCCAAGTCAATATATGGCCTGCAAAGATCCATTTCTATCTGAGTCTGACACCATTGATTTAGGTAAGTGTTTATGATAGAATAGTAATTTGAAGGACATAGTATTACGAGGGTGAATGAAGGCAAATTGGACTTGGGTATGCACGGGCTGAGTGGAATAGGAATGGGGATAGGAATGCAGAAAGAGATAGCCAAGGGGAAAGATCTTTACCTGAAATAAAGCAGGATAATAGGGATCTGGTAAGTAGGATATTGAAAAACAGGCTGAACAGACATACTAACTGTAAGAAGAATGGATTATGAATCTACAAAGTTTAGTTAGTGGATGTGCTTTTAGAAATATCATTTAGAATGTTGGTGAAGAAGAATCATGGTATGATGGCCTGGTCGCACATAAACTGTGTCTTAGGGGATCAAAAAGTTCTGATAATGCTAGATATGCAGCTACTAGTAGAAGAGGATATGAGAATATCTTGCTTGCACGATTTGTGTGTATGGTGATATAATTTCTGTTATTTTATCCTTCCATTGTACATTGAACTTACTGACTTATTCTTGGCATTGCAAGAAGGGTAGTGAAGGGGCATAAGCTAAATAATATTTAGATAGCTTGTGTAACACAGGATATCATAATATGAAAAGAAGCCCATGTTTCTCTCTGGAATCGAAGTCACAAGATGGAAAATTATTCATAATTGCAATCATAACATACCATACAATACAGAGTTTCCTGCCAAGGAAACTTTGATTTCAAAGACCTTACGCAAGTCACATGTAGTCGTGACTTTTTTTTTTTTGCAAGAAGCTCCTGCCAGCCTTCAAACTCAACACAACCCAGGTCAGCTCAGGGATGGAAGGGACTTGATTGGCATAAAATAATTCCTCAGACAAAGGACTGAGTGTATAGCTTCAATGGGAACATTGTGCATCTAGGTCTTTATGAGGAAGGTTGCCCTGGGCTCGTCCAACAGGTGATATCCACATCATGGGTACCACCAAGATTTTCCTGCTCCTTCTCTCAGTGGCCCTGTTGGCCCTGAGCTCAGCTCAAAGAACAGCCAAGGGTAAGTGGGGGAACACTGGGAAACTGTGATAGTATTAGGAGATTTGGGGTTCACCATTCAAGTCAAATGACAGGACTTGGGGCAAGCCATCCTCAATGATTCAGTTACTTTAGTTTTCCTAGAGTTAGATAACTGGGGGAGGTAGTATTACTACTTCTACAAATAAAAACTAGCATTTATATGGTACTTTAAGATTTGCAAAGTCCTTTACATACATGTGATCTTCACAACAACCTTGGGAGGTAGGTGCGATTATAAGAAGACTGAGGCTAAGGTAACTGAGAGGGCTTAACTGACTTGCCTAGGCAGTGTAGTGGGTAAGAGTCCTAGACTTGGAGGTAGGAAAACCTGAGTTCAAATCCTGCATCAGATACATGCTAGTAGTGTGACCCTGAGCAAGTCACTCAGTCTCTGTTTCCCTATTCATTACACTGGAGTCATTGTGTCTTTTGGTTTGGAGGTTCTTCTTGACTTGGTAAAATGGAGATAATAATAGCACCTGCTTTCTAAGGTTATTGCAAGGATCAAATGAGATAGCATATTGTAGCACTTTGCAAACTTTAAAGCACTATGTAAACGCTGGCAATTATTAGTTATTATTTTTGTTGGAAATAACTAGTTAAGTGTCCAAGGCAGTTTAAACTCAAGTTTTCCTGACTCCAAATCTAGTGCTCTATCCATTGTTTTCCATCCTCTGCATACTTCAATTACCTTTCTCTAGCACTGGACATGAGCCTAAACTCAACATCTTCTTTAAGTAACTGCTGTTCTACTATGAACACCTTTGCTTCTGTGTACCAAAATATTGAAATGAAAAACAGACAATTCCATCACTCCTTCAGATACCTAATTACTGAGACAACAAACCTTTGAATATTTATGTGCCCAGATGATTGAATTGTTCACTTTTCCCTCTATTTTGGACATTGGTTAGACACTCTATTCAAATGTCTTCACTGTAGCAGTCTTTTTAGACTTATTTCATATCATTCCTTTTCACATTCTTCATTCAGTGAAATTGGAAGACTAACTATTGCCTGCTCATGACATTTCTTCTCCTGCTTTTGTCCTCATGCCTGACATATGCTTAGTTGTTGGCTATCTTTATAAAATTTCTAGCTTCCCTCAAGGAGAGCTCAGTAGCCGCATAAGGTCTACCCAGATCTCTCAATTGTTAGTTCTTTCTCTCTGTCTCTGTCTCTGTCTCTGTCTCTGTCTCTGTCTCTGTCTCTGTATCTGTCTCTCTCTGTCTCTGTCTCTGTCTCTGTCTCTGTCTCTGTCTCTCTCTCTCTCTCTCTCTCTCTCTCTCTCTCTATGTAATTGTATGTGCTCTTTCTTTGCTTCATATTGGGTTTCCTCCAATGGAATATAAGTTATTTGAGGGACAATTTCATTTTGTCACAGAAAGATGGACATGACTGAGATGACTCAACAGCCACAAAAATCCCCAGTGAGAGGTAACATGGCATACCGAATAGAGGACCAGCCTCAGAGCCAGGAAAATCTCAGCTCAGATTTTGCTCCAATGTAAAGTCACACATTGTTAGTGAATTGAAGTGATGCCTTTGTTATTGTTTTCCTTTATGTTAGACTATTAGGGAGGTCTTGTAAGGACAAATTACCATCCCTTTTTCTGACCCAGGCCTCAGAAAAATAGCTTGCATTAGTTTCCATTATTTGCCTTTTGGGTTCTTATTAGTAGATAAAAAACCTGTGATGGAAACAAAAGAGGTTGAACTCGCATTTCTATTAACTTTGAAGGTTTCATTTAGATATACCAAAGGTTTACTGCATAGGGCATATCAAAGAAATAGGTCACAAATCATTAACAAAATTGTGTTTTCCTAGTTCAGTCATAATGCTTGCATTATGTCCTCCAGGTACCTCTTTTTCAATTGATTCTACCTCCATGGTTATCTCCATTATGCACATAGAATTCAAGAGGTGATAGACTATTTTATATTATTATCACAATAGATATTGTAAGATCTGACTGATCACACTACTGTCTAACTTTCCATCAATTTTGTCTCTATTTGATTCACTTTTCAAAGCTCCAGTATTTAATATGTTATGAAAGTTTCAAAATGGAAGTTAGGAATTCTTTGTTTTATAAGTGGATGTGTAATGTCTGGTCAGGTGGATGCTTGTATTCCTGATAGAGTTCCAATGGGGCTCTTAATCACAGATTGCCCTTATCCACAACTGAAAACTCTTGAGATGCAGAGGACTCTTGCCCTAAAAATCATTCTTTCCTTTTCTTTTTTTCTACCCACAGAAGCCCCAAGCCAGCAACCTGCTGAACCTGAACGTAAGTAGCGTATCTATCTAAACAGTCTTTCTTTCCTTTTCACTTTAGTCCCTTGTTATTGTTATCTTTCATTCTAAACCATTTGACATTTATGCTATTCAAGATCAGTACCCAGGCAAAAAAAAAAAAGAGTAATGATGAACTAAGAATGTGCTCAAATTAAAATCAATTATTCTCTCTTGCCATAACATATGATCTCATTTTTCCAGCAGGGGATTTCCTGGATAAAAATTTCAAGGTCACTTTGATGTCTTCAATGAAATGCTCTCTGTCTCTGTTTGTCCTCTGTCTACATATCTCTCTCTGTTTCCCTGTCTGTCTCTGTCTGTCCTTTGAAAGAAATGTAGTACCAAGAACCAGAAAGGTTAAATGCCTGCCTATTCAAAAGATTTAGCTCTGAAAGGCTAAATAAACAAATGCTGCATCCTTGCCATATTTCATATTTATGCAAAGCCTCTTCACTTCTTCTAAGAATGGACTCATCTGAGGCTTAACCACAAATTAATCACAGCCCTAACTGCAGAGAGTGAGGGCAAGAAGAAATAGAAAGATTGACAAGATATTTCAATCAGTGTCTGTCCCTGGATAAAGGGAGTACATTTGGGTTGATTTCTATTAATTACTTTGTTGCTTTCCTTAATATTAGATAAGTAGTAAATGTAAGTCCAAATTACTGTCACTTTTTCAGACTCTGGACTGGGAAAAATAATTTGGATTAGTTCCCTTATTTGCCTTTTGTGGTCTTCTTCTTAGTAGGTGAAAGATCTGTCAGGGAAGTAAAAAGGGCTCATGCTCATACTTCAACTAACTTTGAAAAATTAATTTAGATAGCCCAATGGCCTGAGGAGGTGCTCGATGCCAAAAATTTGGGCACAGATTTTAGCAAAAACACAATAATTTGTATTGAATAATGTTTTTCTACTTGAGTCACACTGCTTCAGTTATGTTCTCCAGATATATCTTTTTCAGTTCATTCTACTGCCATGGTTATCTCCACTATTTACCTAGAATTTAAAAGTTGATAAACTATCTTATATCATGGTGACACTAGATGTTGTAGGATCCAACTGAACACAACATTTAATGTTCCATTCTTTTTCTCTCTATTTCCTTCATTTCTCACACCTCCTGTATTTAATGTTATGGCAGCTTTGAAAACAATTGGATGAATTCTGAATTATATGACTGGATATGTAACCTCTGGACGAGGGTGCTTCTATTCCTGATAGAATGCCATTTGTACACTTGAATGTAGGTTGCCCTTAAACACAACTGAAAGCTCTTGAAATTCATAGAACTCTTGCCCTAAATATCACTCTTTCCTTTTCTTTATTCTACCCACAGAAGCCTCAAGCCAACAATCTGAGAAACCTGAATGTAACATGTTTATTCTTAAAGTCTTTTTTCCTGTTTTCTTGAGGCCCCTGGACCTTGTCTCTCATTATACACCACATAGTCCTCTATGGTCTTAAAGATAAGTACCCAGAAACAGAGGGTAATCCAGTTAAAATGCCTTAGCACATAGTCTTTTTTCACCAGGGAATGCAGATCACAACTCACAAGACCACTTTGTCATCTTCAATTAAATGCTCTCTGTCTTGGCCCTAATGGTTTGTCTCTATTTCTATGTCTCTTTCTCTCTTTTTCTGTCTCTCCTTCTCTCTCTCTCCTTCTCTGTTTTTCACAGTCCCTCTGTGTCTGGTCTTTCTCTGAATCTGTATCTTTATCTCTCCGTGGCTGTCTCTCTTTTTTTCTGTCTCTCTTTCTCTCTCTCCTCTCTCTCTCTCTCTCTCTCTCTCTCTCTTTCTCTCTCTCTCTCTCTCTCTCTCTCTCTCTCTCTCTCTCTCTCTCTCTCTCTCTCACACACACACACACACACACACACACCCCTTTTCTCTCTATCTCTGTCCCTCCCTTCTACTTTGACCTTCAAAATAGTGAAATTTCAGAAAGCAGAAGAGGAAAAGAGGAAATGTAATATTAGGAACTCAAAAGGACAAATGCCTATTCAAAATATTTCTACCTAAAGCACAAAATTAAGAAATGCTACATCTTGGCCATAATTTCTCCCTTTATGCAAAGCCTCTTCACTTCTTCTAAGGATGGATCCATTTTAGACCTAGCCTCAAGACTACTCACACCACTAACTTCAGGGAAAGAAAACAAGAAGAAATAGGTGGATTGGCAAGATGTTTCTATTCTTTCAGAGGTGTGCTGAGATCAGGTGTAAAATAACAATATGTAATTTTTCTACACATTTTATATTTAGTTCCTTCATTTCTCTTATCTCCTCTACTTACAGTTACAAAAGCACTGAAATGCATAGGATGATTTTGACACTGAATATGAACTTCTGGCCAACTGGATAATTGCACTCTTGATAGAATTTCACTGGGGCCCTCGATTGCATATTGCCCTTATCCAGAACTGAAACCTCTTGAGATTCATAGGACTCATGCCCTAAACATTACTCATCTCTTTTTATTTTTTCTACCCACAGCAGCCCCAAGGCAACAAACTAGGGATAGTGAAGGTAAGTAAAATGTCTATCTGTAAAGAGTCCGTCTTTCCTTTTTCCTTGAGGACCCTAGAACTTATTTCTCATTTTAAACAATTTGGCATTTCCAATCTTAAAGTTCAATACCAGGAAAGAGGTGGTAATAATGAAATAACAGGGTGGTCAGTTTAAAAGGCCTTGTTCTCTCTTGCCATTGCATAGGTCTTATTTTCCCAACTGAAAATTTCCCAGATGAAAAATCCAAAGCCGTTTAATCATCTTTTGCCGTAACACATGTTTGCTTTTTTCTGTTAGCTAATATCCTATGTCAAAGATTTCAAGATCACTTTGTAATATTTGGTGCAATGTTCTTTTAAAGTCTCTGCACTGTTTGTATTTCTCTCACTCTTCCTCTCAGTTTTCTCAGTCCCTCTGTGTCTGGTCTTTCTCTGAATCTATATCTTTATCTCTCTGTCTTTGTCTCACTTTTTCTTGGTTTCTCTCCCTCTCTTTCTGTCTCCCTCCCTCTCTCTCTCTCTCTCTCTCTCTCTCTCTCTCTCTCTCTCTCTCCCCCTCTCTTTCTCTCTTTCACTCATATGGACAGACACACACCCACACACACACACACATTTTCTCTCTATCTCTCTCTCCCCCTTGTACTTTGACCTTTGAAAGAGTGAAATTTGAGAAAGCAAAAGAGGAAAAGAGGGAAATATAAGATTAGGAATTCAAAAGGACAAAGGCGTATTGAAAATATTTGTACCAAAAACATAAAATTAAGAAATTTTACATCCTGGCCATCATTTCCCCCTTTACTCAAAGGGTCTTGAATTCTTCTAAGGAAGGATCCAACTCAGACCTAGCCTCAAGCCTACTCACACCAATATCTTCAAGGACAAAAGACATGAAGAAATAGTCAGTTTGTCAACATGTTTTTATTCCTTAGAGATGTGCTGAGATCAGGCTGAACACGATAATATCTAATTTTTCCACCCATTATATACTTAGGTCCTTCATTTCTCTTATATCTTCTACTTACAGTTATGAAAGCTTTGAAATACATAGGATGATTTTGTGACTGAATATGAACCTCTGGCCAAGTGGATACTTGCATTCTTCAAGAAATTCCACTGAGGCCTTTGATCACATATTACCTTTATGCACAACTGAAACCTCTTGAGATTCACAGGACTCTTGCCCTAAACATTACTCATCTTTTATTTTTTCTAGACCCAGAAGAACCAGAAGAACCACCTGAAGGTAAGTAATATGTCTATCTCTAACCACTCCTTTCTTTCCCCGTTCCTTGAGGACCCTAGACCTTGTCTCTCATTTTAAACCATTTGGCACATCCACTCTTAAAGTTCAGTACCAAGAAAGAGAGTGTAATAATGAACTAAGAGGGTGGTCAGCTTAAAAAGCTTTGTTTTCTCTTGCCATTGCATAGCTCTCATTTTTCCACCAGAGAATTTCCCAGATCAAAAATCCAAAGTTATTTTGTCATCTTTTCCCTTAGCATAGTTTGCATTTTTCCATTGGCTAATATCCTAGATCAAAGATTTCAAGATCACTTTGTAATATTTAATGCAATGTTCTCTTCATGTCTCCCACTGTTGGTATTTCTCTCTCTCTTTCTCTCTGTTTTCACAGTCCCTCTGTGTCTGGTCATTCTCTGAATCTATATCATTATCTCTCTCTCTGTCTCGCGTTTTCTCTATCTTTCTCTCTCCCTCTGTCTCGCTCTCTCTCTCTGTCTCACACACACACGCACACACACACACACAGACACCCATTCACACACATATTTTCTTTGTATCTCTCTCTCTCCCTTGTACTTTGCACTTTGAAAGAGTGAAATTTCAGAAATCAAAAGAGGAAAATAAGGAAATGTAATATTAGTAATTCAAACGGACAAATGCTTATTCAAAATATTTGTACCTAAAACACAAAATTAAGGAATGTTACATCCTATCCATAATTTCCCCCTTTATGCAAAGGCTCTTTGCTTCTTCTAAGGAAGGATCCATCTCAGACCTAGCCTCAAGCCTACTCACACCAATATCTTCAAGGACAGAAGACAAGAAGAAATAGGTAGTTTGGCAAGATATTTCTATTCTTTAGAGATGTGCTGAGATCAGGTTGAACATAATATCTAATTTTTCCACCCATTTTATATTTAGCTCCTTCGTTTCTCTTATATCTTCTACTTACACTTATGAATGCTTTGAAATGTATAGGATGATTTTGTGAGTGAATATGAACCTCTGGCCAAGTGGATACTTGCATTCTTCAAGTAATTCCACTGGGTCCTTCAATCACATATTGACTTTATCCACAATGGAAACCTCTTGAGATTCAGAAGGACTCTTGCCCTAAACGTTACTCATCTTTTTATTTTTTCTACCCCAGGAGACCCAGGCGAACCACCTGAAGGTAAGTAATATGTCTATCTCTAAACACTCCTTTCTTTCCCTGTTCCTTGAAGACCCTAGACCTTGTCTCTCATTTTAAACCATTTGGCGCATCCACTCTTAAAGTTCAGTACCAAGAAAGAGAGGGTAATAATGAACTAAGAGGGTGGTCAGCTTAAAAGGCTTTGTTTTCTCTTGCCATTGCATAGCTCTCATTTTTCCACCAGAGAATTTCCCAGATCAAAAATCCAAAGTTATTTTGTCATCTTTTCCCATAGCATAGTTTGCTTTTTTCCATTGGCTAATATCCTAGATCAAAGATTTCAAGATCACTTTGTAATATTTAATGCAATGTTCTCTTCATGTCTCCACTGTGGTATTTCTCTCTCTCTTTCTCTGTTTTCACAGTCCCTCTGTGTCTGGTCTTCTCTGAATCTATATCTTATCTCTCTCTCTGTCTCGCTTTTCTCTATCTTTCTCTCTCCCTCTGTCTCGCTCTCTCTTCTCACACACACACACACACACACACACACACACACACCCACACATTTTCTTGTATCTCTCTCTCTCCCTTGTACTTTGACCTTTGAAAGAGTGAAATTTCAGAAAGCAAAAGAGGAAAAGAAGGAAATGTAATATTAGTAATTCAAACGGACAAATGCTTATTCAAAATATTTGTACCTAAAACACAAAATTAAGGAATGTTACATCCTATCCATAATTTCCCCCTTTATGCAAAGGCTCTTTGCTTCTTCTAAGGAAGGATCCATCTCAGACCTAGCACAAGCCTACTCACACAAATATCTTCAGGGACAGAAGACAAGAAGAAATAGGTAGTTTGGCAAGATGTTTCAGTTCTTTAGAGATGTGCTGAGATCAAGCTGAACATAATAATACCTAATTTTTCCACCCATTTTATATTTAGCTCCTTCGTTTCTCTTATATCTTCTACTTACACTTATGAATGCTTTGAAGTGTATAGGATGATTTTGTGAGTGAATATGAACTTCTGGCCAAGTGAATACTTGCATTCTTGAAACAATTCCACTGGATCCCTCGATCACATATTACCTTTATCCACAACTGAAATCTCTTGAGATTCACAGGACTCTTGCCCTAAACATTCCTCATCTCTTTTTATTTTTTCTAGGCCCAGGAGACCCAGGCGAACCACCTGAAGGTAAGTAATATGTCTATCTCTAAACACTCCTTTCTTTCCCCTTTCCTTGAGGACCCTAGACCTTGTCTCTCATTTGAAACCATTTGGCACATCCACTCTTAAAGTTCAGTACCAAGAAAGAGAGTGTAATAATGAACTAAGAGGGTGGTCAGCTTAAAAGGCTTTGTTTTCTCTTGCCATTGCATAGCTCTCATTTTTCCACCAGAGAATTTCCCAGATCAAAAATCCAAAATTATTTTGTCATCTTTTCCCAAAGCATAGTTTGCTTTTTTCCATTGCCTAACATCCTACATAAACATTTCAAGATCACATTGTAATATTTACTTCAATGTTCTCTTCCTGTCTCTGCAGTGTGGGTATTTCTCTCTCTCTTTCCCTCTGTTTTCACAGTCCCTCTGTGTCTGGTCTTTCTCTGAATCTATATCTTTATCTCTCTGTCTCTGTCTCACTTTTTCTGTGCCTTTCTCTCACCCTCTGTCTCTCTCTTTCACACAAACACAGACACACAGACACACACACACACACACCTACACACACACACATTTTCTCTGTATCTCTCTCTCCTTGTACTTTCACCTTTGAAACAGTGAAATTTCAGAAAGCAAAAGAGGAAAAGAAGGAAATATAATATTAGCAATTCTAAAGGAGAAACACTTATTCAAAATATTTGTACCTAAAACACCAAATTAAGAAGTGTTATATCCTGGCCATAATTTCCCCCTTTACACAAAGGCTCTTTGCTTCTTCTAAGGAAGGAGCCATCTGAGACCTAGCACAAGCCTACTCAAACCAATCTCTTCAAGGAGAGAAGAGAAGAAGAAATTGGTAGTTTGGAAAGGTGTTTCTATTGTTTACAGATGTGCTGAGATCAGGCTGAACATAATAATATCTAATTTTTCCACCCATTTTATATTTAGCTCCTTCATTTCCTTATATCTTCTACTTACACTTATGAAAGCTTTGAAATGTATGGGATGATTTTCTGAGTGAATATGCACCTCTGACCAAGTGAATACTTGTATTCTTCAAGTAATTCCACTGGGTCCTTTGCTCACATATTACTTTATCCACCTCTGAAACGTCTTGAGATTCAGAAGGACTCTTGCCCTAAACATCACTCATCTTTTTCTTTTTTCTACCCCAGGAGACCCAGGCGAACCACCTGAAGGTAAGCAATATGTCTATTTCTAAACACTCCTTTCTTTCCCCATCCCTTGAGGACCCTAGACCTTGTCTCTCATTTGAAACCATTTGGCACATCCACTCTTAAAGTTCAGTACCAAGAAAGAGAGGGTAATGATGAACTAAGAGGTGGTCAGCTTAAAAGCGTTTGTTTTCTCTTGCCATTGCATAGCTCTCATTTTCCACAGAGAATTTCCCAGATCAAAAATCCAAAGCCATTTTGTCATCTTTTCCCAAAGCATAGTTTGCTTTTTTCCATTGCTAATATCCTAGATCAAACATTTCAAGATCACTTTGTAATATTTAGTGCAATGTTCTCTTCCTGTCTCTGCAGCGTGGGTATTTCTCTCTCTCTTTCTCTCTGTTTTCACAGTCCCTATGTATCTGAAGCTATATCTTTATCTCTCTGTCTCTGTCTTGCTTTTTCTCTGCCTTTCTCTCTCCCTCTGCCTTTCTCTCTTTCACACACAGACACACACACACACACACACACACACACACACACACACACACACACACATTTTCTCTATATCTCTCTCTCTCTCCCTTGTACTTTGACTTTGAAAGAGTGAAATTTCAGAAAGCAAAAGAGGAAAAGAAGGAAATGTAATATTAGCAATTCAAAAGGACAAACGCTTATTCAAAATATTTGTACCTAAAAGACAAAATTAAGAAATTTACATCCTGGCCATAATTTCCCCTTTACACAAAGGCTCTTCGCTTCTTTAAGGAAGGAGCCATCTCAGA